GGCTCTGCACTGACAGTGCAGAACCTGCTTGGGATTCTCTGTCTCCTTGTCTTTCTGCACCTCCCTGTTCATGCTCTCCCAGTCTATCTCAAAAATAAATTAACATTAAAAAACATGATGTGATACTAAATTTCACCAAAATATACTGTATATTACAATAGTTATATGCATCATTAGCAAAAGTATTTCTTTTTAAGTTAATTTAGTACACACACACACACACACACACACATTGTGTTTCTTTTGTACTTTATGTCCCAGTATATTAATATTAAATGATCTTTTCTCTGTAAATACTTACCTTAGTCCTTTTGGGCTATTTTAACAAGCTTTGATAGACTGGATGTTTATAAACAGAAATTTATTTTTTACAGTTCTGGAGGCTGAGAAAAAGTCCAAAATCCAGCAACCTGCAGATTTAGTGTTTGAAGAGAGAGAGAGAGAGAGAGAGAGAGAGAGAATCCTAAGCAATGTCTACACTCAGCACAGAACCCGATTTAGGGCTGGATCCCACAACCCTGGGATCATGACCTGAGCCAAAATCAGGAGTCAGACGTTCAACTGACTGAGCCACCCAGGCACCCTTAGTATCATGTTTCTTAAGGGAAATATATTTCTGCCATACTTTTTCCACTTAAATTAAAAATCAAGTAAAATAAAACAAGTATAAAAATTGACTATTTTAATGTTTATGCATTCACTTCCCATAAAAATGGAAACATTTATTAATACATGCCTTCAGGTAATGATGAGTAAGTTTCTAACTGAAAACATGCATATATTTGAAGCCATATTTATATATATGGAGATGTTTTCTCCTTATATGAGACTATCTTGTTTTTGTTAATCCAACACTTATGCATGTATATGTACATATGTGCATTTTGCTTAAGTTATAAGTCACATTTTGTTCAAGAGCTCACTAGTATAGATGGAAATTTTAAGCAAAGTTTGCATTACATATGGTACTGAAGATGTGATTAGTAGACATAAAAATCAAAGTAATGGAGACTGAGGAGAGTAGTTAAGCAAACTTAGAAAATTAGAAAATAAGCACAAGGAGCTATTAATTTGCAGGCATTTAAAGAAAATACTCTATTTCAAAGTATTTGCTACTATTGAATTATCTTACACACACACATGCATACATATATTTTTTCTTGGATGATTTCAGTTAGGTCTTATACTCAATCTTACTGGCATATGACCCCATCTCTTACACCAAATTTAGTTTATTTATGAACCATAATACAGAACACAACATTTTAATTCATTCATATCTATCTTGTTTTACTCTTCTAGAATCTGCTTTTTATTTGCCCCATGTCATTCACCATAGCAATTTTTTGCCATCTGGGTATTTTATATTTTGAAGTTTTTTGGGTTTTGGGGGGTTTTGTTGTTGTTTTGTTTTGTTTTGTTTTGTTTGTTTGTTTGTTTTGACAATCTGTATTTGTTTCCTAGGTCTGCTGTAACAAAACACTACTAATTGGGTGGCTTCAAAAAACACAGGGATTTATTCTGTCACAGTTCTAGAGGCTAGAAGTCCAAAATTAAAGTATTAGCCGGGCCATGCTGTCCTAGCTCTAGGTGAGGATTCTTCTTTGCCTGTTCCTAGCTTTTGGTGGTTGCCAGCAGTTCTAGACATGTCACTCCCATTTCTGCTTCCATGGCCATATGGTATTCTCCCTTGTATGACCATCTCTGTGTCTTGTTTCTCTTCTTATGAAGAGAGCAGTCATGGGATTTAGAACACCCTAATATTACTTACCTGACTTCATCTTAAGTAACTATGTCTGCAAAGACCCTGTTTCCAAATAAGGTCACATTCTGATTTTCCATGAGGACATGAATTGTGGAGGAGCAGTATTCAACCCAGTCTATCCTTTGAACCCCCAAATTTACATGCATCCCATTTACAAAATCCATCCACCTCCTCTCGCTATCATCCACGCATCTCAAACCTTGATAGCAGGACTCTAAGTCCCAAATCAAATCTAAATATCAACTAAGAAAGTCTCACATCTCAGCAGCTAAATCAGGTGTAGGGGAGAATCTGGGTATGGTCCCTCCTGGGCAACCTTCCTCTTCTTTCACAGACCTATCACACTAGAAAAGAAATTACCTGTTTCCAAAATACAATGATGGAACAAGCACAGGGTAGACATTCTTATTCTTAGAGGGTGAAAATGGAAGGAACAAAGGGGTTAGTAGTCAAGGAAGTTGGCAACGCATAGGGGCAAATTCCATTAGGTTTTAAGGCCTGAAAGTAATTGTGTGCTCACTCCTTTAAGCTTTCTTGACTCTCTGGGGCAGTAACCCACCCTTCCTGGTCCCTGTATCTGTGGCTGTACTTTAGAGTAATTTTTCCTTCATTTTGTCTCATCTCTGTCTCTTTCAGTCCACGTTAGCAGCGTGATGTAAAATTCTCAAAAACTTTGACTTCTGGATGTTGAGGGGATCCACACCATTAGACAAGAGTGTTCTCCACAGACCTTTCCTCAGTAACCTTATCTCTACTCCTGACTTCTCTTATGATGGTTGATTGGAGTCATAGATAACACCCTAATCACTACAGCAAAAGACTGTCCAGCCACACCTTTGTCCTTGTTTCCAGAAAATGCGATTTGATAGTGAATTTTCCAAATCAATTGTTGGTTTCTTTTTGCTTAAAAGTTCATTCCTTAGTTGATCTCTTTGCTCTCACATTTTACTATAGTCAGAAAGGAGAAACCAGCTCACACTTACTACACTTTGCTGGAAAGCATTTCAGCTAAATATCCAAATTCATCAAGGACAAGTTCTACTTTTCACCCAACAATTTGGCCAAGTTTCCTGCCATTTCATAACAAACATTGCCTTCCAGTGTCCAATAACATTTCCACCTGAAACCTTATGAGAAGCACCTTTAACATTCATATTTCTGTCTACATTCTGCTATTGAGGATAAAGCCGCACATATATCCTCAAACATGATAGAAACTTCCTCTATAGTTAGCCTTACTTCTTACTGAGCTTGGAGGAGAATCATTAAATTAAGTTTTTTAATGTCTGTATTTCTTCCAATAGTCTCTTCAAGGCAATCCAGGCTTTTAAAAACCATGCATATTAAAACCCTTCCAGCTTATTCCCATTACCCAGTTCCACAGTCACTTCCACATATTTACATATTTGTTCCAACAGCATATCACTTCTGGATACTAAAATCAGTATCAGAGGGCTGACATAACTAGAGCCATACTAGGTGGCCTAAAATGACAGGAATTTATTCTCTCCCAGTTCTGAAGGCCAGAAGTCCAAAATCAAGGTATAAGCAGGAATGGGCTCTCTAATGGCTCTCGAGGAGGATCTTTCCTTGCCTCTAGCTACTTTACTTCTGGTCATTGCCAGCAATCCTAGACAAAACACTCCAATCTCTACTTCCACCTTCGCATGGCATTTTCTCTACACGACTGTCTCTGTGTCAGTTTTCTTACAAGAACATCATACATTGGATCAGGGCCCACTCTAATCCAGTATGACTTCATCTAAAGTAATTAGATTTGCAAGGACCCTCTTTCCAAATAAGGTCATATTCTGATGTTCCCGGTGGACATATGGGGGTCAATACCCAACCCAATGCACAGCCTATACCTGTCTTTTTTTTTTTCCTCCAATTTCAATTAAATATATTTTTCTGAACAAAAGGATTCTATACCTTATATGACTCTGGTAATATTATTTAAAAAATATATGGTATACTTTGAATATATCTAAAATATGTTAGATAGTGATTGCTGAGTTTGAATTATTATCAAGGGAATGTAGAGTGCCTTTTACATAGTAAAATGGTCAGTGGGTAGAAAAAAGTGCAATTTCTGCTAGGACTGAAAATTTAAGAGAATTGTGCCAAATGCAAAAAAGACAAATGAACTTGGTAACAAAATAAGAACAAATGAAGGTGGTTGTAGACTATAAACTTTGGCAAATGTCTTTGGCAAAAAACTAGATCATCTCTTCAGAATTTTAAATTGAACATAGTAACAAGGTGACTTACAGATTATTTTTTTCTGTAAACCAATATTCTCTATTCTCTTTTCTGTGCTAATATCACAATAGGCATCATTTAAACATGTGCATGAGGCAGACTTATTTTCAGGTGTTTCCATCTGTTGTGGGAATATACTTGAAGAATAGAAGAGAAACATACACAAATTAAACACAAAGCCAGGGGAGAAAAGGAAAAAAAAAAATGAGAGAAAACATCTGCAGGGGGAAACAGTGTGGAAAAATGTTTGAGCTGCCTGTTATTAACTACTCAACCTGTTTTACATTGGAATCCTGCATAATTACATTCCAGGGGAGGGGCAAACAACAGATGTTGAATAAAGGTTGGAAATAAGAAAATGAGACTATTTGAAAAATAAAGCTACTTTGCTCACCAACAGGCCTTTTTTTTTTTTTTTTGGCATGACTTTTAGATAGCAATTGATTTCATATATTCACTATGCATTTAGATGCACACAAAGCATTCTTTTTTTGTCTAAGAAACTGATCAATTATACACATCCATATATGCCCAAGTTAGAGGTGCTTAAAAAGAAAAACAAAAATAAAAACAAAATGCAGCATTGCTTTATAACAATAACATTTATGGTTATGTGTTGGATAAAAAAAAGAGTTGAAATTGTTTCAGAAATATATATATTTCTTATTACTAAAATCAATACGCTTCATCATCGCAGGAGTATTTTTCCCATTGACCTAGGCATTCTTATAGTTACTTTGCATTGTTTCTATCTCCTCTAAACGGAAATACGCCCCCAAAGTAATTTTCTTCCAGTCACACTAAGTTTTATGCACCTGGGGAAATACAAATGACCGTATCTGTTAGGGAATGATCAATCTAAAGGATTTTAATATAAAAATTTCAATCAATAGAGAAGGATTCATGATTCAATTGGCCCTTTTTTCCCATTTGGTTTTTCTATTTGTTAACTAAAAATATTTTATTTTTCAAGCATTCCCGACTTTGCTTTCCTTTGCTATCCTCACCCTACACACCATCACAACTAGACTTCAGTCTGTTGACCTACTTCCTCCAGGTGAGCAATTTCTTCATCTGCTGGCTTTCTTCTCTGTGATCCGAATTTTACTTGTTACATGATGACACTCATAAGACTATCCACACATAAATTCAGAATGTGTAGACTTTATTCCTTTAAAGGAAAATAGAATAGTAAATAAGTAATTTATTCTATTTTATTTGCATCGCTACTTTCAATATTTCAGGAAAAGCTGTGTAAGGTTAAGGGTTGAAAAGAGAATCTACATATTCATTTATATCAGGGTTTGTTTTTTTCACATTTATAGTTCTTAAATGAGTGTAAGTGGTCCAGTTCTTAATTGCTTAATGTAAAAAATCACCACTTGTACAAATTTCACTTCAGAGTTAGTGCTAGGGAAATGCTCAGGAAGAAATTGGTGGAATAGAGGGCTGATATAGGGGAAGGGGATTGGTTTTCCTTGAATGTTAGTTGTTGGTATAGAGCAAAGTACATCACTGTTGAGTTCTGAAGAAGAAACTGTTTCACCTGAGAAATTGGGTCCACAAATTCTTCTTTCACTTTGGACAGGCAATTACATTCCAAATTAGATGTGTTATTTTATGGAAATATATTAAAGGCTTCTTTACACATTACTTTGTAAAAGCGGTACACATCACCCTAATACATATTCCTAAAGGCAGGGCAGAACCAAGTTCATGTCAATTGCAACAGCTAGTGAAGCTCAAAATTAAAACCCCCTGAACTCGATAAAATTTTGTCAATATATTTTAATTTGGAAGTATGCTCTACATGTGACTCACATAATCTAGGAAAACACATTGAAATTTGAAATAACTGGATGGATTAAGTGAAAGTAGAAAGAAGTACATATCTCAGGTGAAATTTTAACTCATTTCATGATATTCTTCTAACTCTGGGTTGTATATAGTCCAAGTCTGAGTCATTTGAATGCTTTTGAGAGATTTCATTGGTTTCTCAGTAGTTTAATCTCTACACGAGGGAAACAAGCCAGTGGAGAAAATTAATATATTAAGTTGTCGCTGTGGTTGAAAAATACACATGTATGTTACAGTAATCTATTACTGTTATATTTATTTGTGTTGCTTTACTCAAGCCAAGAAAAGAGAATAGGTTGCATTATTTCTAGATGGAAATGAATGGAAATTGGAGAGAAAATACAAGAAAAGGCCTCAAACAGTGTTGCAGTGAGGAAATTTTTACTTATTTCCAATGTGGGGGAGTAAGGTGGAAAGTTTGACAGCATGAGTGCATGTACATACACATATACTGACACATCTATATAAAATCATCCTTGTCATCCTTAAATAGTTGTTATTTCACACTTACTAAATTATAATCGATTGGGAAAAAGAGTTTTATTTATCAATTCTTATTTTCAACTTCAATGGAAGAATTAAATTTAAGGGTAAAATTTATAGCAAAAAAAAAGCATTTTGGCCTTTAGAATGTAAATGTCTGCACATTATTTTATGTGTCCCTAAAAATCTCTCTCTTAATCTGACACTGACACTCTGCTCATGTGCACATGCATGCTTCTGGTGAATGTACATGTGTGTGCATGTGCACACCTGTGCTTCACCATGACTGTCTATTAACTTGAAACACTGGGTCCTCTGGGAGCTATCACTGAGCATCAGGAAACCCAAAAGCTGTTGTAAGGCGGGTTAGGTCTTTATTTTATTCCCATTAAATAGTTCCAGAGGATTTTTGTCCTTAGGCAAGGCTCCTTCCATTCATTTCCATTTGGTATGGGAATGTATTTTTTCATCATGTGTACAAAGGGTGCTTATATAAGGAAATGAGTGCATGCCTTTTTAGTTGTATTCCTTTGTTGATAGTTACCTGATGTATTGGAAGCTGTCATTTTAAAACGTATATTGCCTTCACTTAAAATATTAAGATAGTGAAGCTTATGAATATTTTCCATCAACATATATGCTACAATAAAAGTCTTCAATTTAAAACTCTGTTACTGGAGCTCATTGAATATAATATTTTCTTATTGTTGTACATATATATTTCTTTGATTTTTAAAATACTAGAATGATTATATGTAATATAATAATTTCATGCATGTGTGTGTTGTAAAATAATCATAATAACTTTAGCTTTTTGTTGAAATCACTGTTATCTCTCAACTATATGGTTCGTATAGATACAACCTTTATGTTTATGGATAATAAGTAGATCAATGAGTTATATATGTTAGACTATGACTTTTTAAAATAAATGGTTAATCTTACAATGAATCATTTATATTGGAATTTATGCAGAATTATGTGCAGATATATATGTTTTTAATCGTAAAAGCATCATTCCCAATAGATAAGAAGTTACATTTGCCAAGTACTTCTAACCTAATAATTTTTCTATTTTGCAATAATACTTACCACAGTGACCTTATTTACAATAATAATTAACTAGGTAATTTTCTGTTGTGATCATGCATGTTTTTTATCAATTCAATGAAGAAACACAAATACATATTTTATTAGAAATTTGTCAGATCAAATAGTTATATTTCATTCCATTTTGCATTGCACCTTGGGTTTTAATACTAGATAATTTTAGATCAAGGAACATAACCATCAAGTCACCTAAAAATTTAAGGTTAAAGTGACACTTTCTCAAATTCAAGTTGTTCTCTCTTTTGAGCAGACACATGGTGATCCCAAGTATATGTCCACTAGCATGTTCCACATCCTCCAATTGACCTAGGTAATAATTACAGCCTTCTAAAGGAATTTTAGGGTTCAGTTAGATGATTGCTACCATTTTCCTGAAGATTACGGAAATATTTGCTGGAACAGAAAGTATACAAATTCTACTTGTTAGAATCTAAGTTTATTGTTTTTGTTTTTTGTTTTTTTAATGACAGAATTGCCTAAATAATTTATTTGGGGCAGATTACAGAGGGTTTTGAACACGAGGCTGAGTAGTTCAGATTATAGCAGTCCCCCTTATCCACAGTTTTATTTTCCATGGTTTCAGTTACCTGAAGTGAACCTCATGGTCCAGAAACAGATGACCCTCCTCTGACATCTCATCAGATGGTCAATAGTAGCCTATGTCACGTCATAGTGCCTACATCATTCACCTCACTTCATCTAATCATATAGGTATTCTATCACTTCACATTATTGCAAGAAGGGTACATTCAATACAATTTTTATTACAGTATATTGTTATAATTGCATTATATTACTATTAGATATTGTTAATCTCTTAGTGTACCTAATTTATAAAATAAACCTTTTAAAAATAAACTTTATTGTAGGTATGAATGTATAGGAAATAACATCGTGTATATAGGACTTGGTGCTATTCGTGGCATCCACTGGGGGTCTCGGATCATATCTGTATGGGAAAGGGAGGACGACTGTATAACCTTTCTCAGGAATGACCATGGAAATTGTTAGGCAGCTCCTCAAAAATAGCTTTGGCAACACAAAGGATCACTTCTTCTGAAATTGAGCATACATATTCTTAGGGGGGGAATCAAATATAGCATGCCTGAATTTAAAAAAGACTGTCTCAATGAATTCAATGAATTCTCCTTGTGATATCAATATGAATTTCCAGTTAGATTAGATTTAGATTGCAAGTCTGAAAATAAAATAAGTTTTCATATATTTATAATTATTTCCCCGTTAATATTACTCATGGGGACTACACTTCACTTTTTTTTTTTTCAACGTTTATTTATTTTTGGGACAGAGAGAGACAGAGCATGACGGGGGAGGGGCAGAGAGAGAGAGGGAGACACAGAATCGGAAACAGGCTCCAGGCTCTGAGCCATCAGCCCAGAGCCTGACGCGGGGCTCGAACTCACGGAACGCGAGATGGTGACCTGGCTGAAGTCGGACGCTTAACCGACTGCGCCACCCAGGCGCCCCTACACTTCACTTTTATCATCTGTTCTTTGCTCCAGGTATGACTGATTATCAATTAAATCATAGAAAGTACTCTCCAAGATAAGAAAGTATTTAAAACATCACTGTAGACACCTTTTGATGTTAATACTGCATTATGGATGGATAAGCCTTCATATCCTTTAAAAATACATTTTTATCTTTGCTGTGATTCAAGGATAGCCTTCTCCAATAGCTTTTGACTCTCGGTTTGATTACATAGCAGGGTGATATAGAGGGACACATCTCCTATCTTACAATATATGAATTTCCAGACCTCTTTTCCCAATTTCTCCATTGCTTCAGTGTGCTTTAATGATTACAAAATATTAAAGCTGTTACAGAAAAATGGCTTGTCATTGCCAGTAAAATCCATTACAAGAAACACTTTTGTATATTTACTCTAGAACATAGTATTGAGTGTATTGATTTTGCTTAAATTTTCATTCTTGGGATGACCCAATCATACAGGATAAAAAAACATCAGCTTCCAATAAACTTACAGCACACTAAAGGTAATAAGAACAGAATGGTTTCAGAGAAGTAATTCCAAGAACAGGCTTTATTTAAATTGTTAGTTCTCTTTCCTTTCCTACTCTTTATGTATTTTAAAACTATCTATAATATAGTAGCAATAATTGTGGTAACATGAGCAGCTTGGTAGTAGGAGTTGTTTTAATAAAATCAAGGCCAAATTGTTTCGGTTCAAACTATTGTTATATTACTCTTTTTTTTAAATTTTTAAATTTTATTTATTTTTGAGAAAGAGCATGAGCAGGGGCGGGGCAGACAGAGAGAGAGAGAGAGAGAGAGAGAGAATCCCAAGCAGGCTCTGCACTGTCAGCACGGAGCATGAGGGACTTGAGTTCACTAACCACAAGATCATGACCTGAGCTGAAACCAAGAGTCGGATTCTAATCCAACTGAGCCACCCAGGCGCCCCTCGGTGTATTAATCTAAAGTTACCTTTGGGACACTATCAATCTGAATAGTACCTTCAGACAAACTTCATTTCACAGAAGGCATTTTTGGTGAAAAATACATATTTATTATCATTTGTGTGTGTGTATGCATGCACATCAAGAACATTTACCTTTGGTTCAC